ACTACTGAATGCATACTTGGCCGCACCCCTCCTCTTGTGCCTGTTCTTCTCTGTCAATATTCAGTTGTGAACATCAAAAGCCAACATTTAATGAAATCTACTTTAATTAAAAGGGACATCCATAAAAGTATATATTCCCTATTTATTCAGGGGTCAGATTTTATACGTTCCAAAATACAAGGAAAAACAACCTGGAGATGGATTTCCTACTGAGGTACCATAATTTTCGGACGATAAGCCGCAACTTTTTCCCCATTTTTCGACCTTGCGGCTTATACAGGTGCTGGTCATAAAATTAGAATATCATGAAAAAGTAGATTGATTTCAGTAATTCCATTTAAAAAGTGAAACTTGTATATTATATTCATACATTACATACAAACTCATATATTTCAGATGTTTATTTTGTTTAATTTTGATGATTACAAATGACAACAAATGAAAATCTCAAATTCATCATATCAGAAAATTAGAATATTACTGAAGACCAATAAAAACAAAGGATTTATAGAAATGTTGGCCAACTGAAAAGTATGAACATGAAAAGTATGAGCATGTACAGCACTCAGTATTTAGTTGGGCCTCCTTTGGCCTGTATTACTGCAGCAATGCGGCGTGGCATGGAGTCGATCAGTCTGTGGCACTGCTCAGGTGTTATGATAGCCCAGGTTGCTCTAATAGTGGCTTTTAGCTCTTCTGAATTGTTGGGTCTGGTGTATTGCATCTTCTTCTTCACAATACCCCATAGATTTTCTATGGGGTTAAGGTCAGGAGAGTTTGCTGGCCAATTAAGAACAGGGATACCATGGTCCTTCAACCAGGTACTGGTAGCTTTGGCACTGTGTGCAGGTGCCAAGTCCTGTTGGAAAATGAAATCTACATCTCCAAAAAGTTGGTCAGCTGCAGGAAGCATGAAGTGCTCTAAAACTTCCTGGTATGTGGCTGCGTTGACCCTGGACCTCAGAAAACACAATGGACCAACACCAGCAGATGACATGGCACCCCAAACCATCACTGACTGTGGAAACTTTACACTGGACTTCAAGCAACGTGGATGAAGTGCCTCTCTTCTTTTCCTCCAGACTCTGGGACCTTGATTTCCAAAGGAAATGTAAAATTTACTTTCATCAGAGAACATGACTTTGGACCACTCACCAGCAGTCCAGTCCTGTTTCTCTTTAGCCCAGGCAAGACGCTTCTGACGCTGTCTGTGGTTCAAGAGTGGCTTGACACAAGGAATGCGACAGCAGAAACCCATGTCTTTCATACGTCTGTGTGTGGTGGTTCTTGAAGCACTCACTCCAGCTGCAGTCCACTCTTTGTGAATCTCCCCCACATTTTTGAATGGGTTTTGTTTCACAATCCTCTCCAGGGTGCGGTTATCTCTCTTGCTTGTACACTTTTTTCGACCACATCTTTTCCTTCCCTTCGCCTCTCTATTAATGTGCTTGGACACTGAGCTCTGTGAACAGCCAGCCTCTTTAGCGATGACCTTTTGTGTCTTGCCCTCCTTGTGCAAGGTGTCGATGGTCGTCTTTTGGACAACTGTCAAGTCAGCAGTCTTCCCCATGATTGTGTAGCCTATAGAACTAGACTGAAAGACCATTTAAAGGCTTTTGCAGGTGGTTTGAGTTAATTAGCTGATTAGAGTGTGGCACCAGGGGCCATCAATTTTGAACCTTTTCACAATATTCTAATTTTCTGATATGATGAATTTGAGATTTTCATTTGTTGTCATTTGTAATCATCAAAATTGAACAAAATAAACATCTGAAATATATGAGTTTGTATGTAATGTATGAATATAATATACAAGTTTCACTTTTTAAATGGAATTACTGAAATCAATCTACTTTTTCATGATATTCTAATTTTATGACCAGCACCTGTATAACAATGCGGCTTATCTATGGACTTTTACAACTAACGGCCACTAGGGTAATACCTAAATCTATGGATTTTACCATCCACCATGTTGACGTCACATTTGCTTCAACACGCAAGTACGGTAGCCGCACGCGGGAATGTGGAGGTCCGCCGGAAGCAGACTTTTACCGCGAGTGGTACGAGAAAGAACGACAACAAGAAAGACGGACATTGCGAGCGCAAGAAAGTTTGTGTTAAACATAAAAAACCTGCGGCTTATAGTCCGGTGCGGCTTGTATACGTACAAATAATGAAATTTAGCTTCTGCGGCTTATATTCAGGTGCGGCTAATAGTCCGAAAATTACGGTAGTTAGAGGAAGTTCAGCTACATCCTCTCCTGCACTGAATATAGTATGTAGCAGTGATGGTTGCGACTATTTATGAGCACTTTTGATGATTCATATCTCATTATGAATCATGTCTCAAACATGTGAACATTTTCCTTTATTGTTCACACATATGAATAGACTCCCGATTTGCATCGCCTAGCATCTATTCCTATCTCCTATTTCTTCACCAACTGGGTAAGAAATGAAGCCCTGACTGCCGTACCAAATCCAAACAGCCATCATCCTCCTTGACAAAACAGAAACATGGATGATGCTTGTCAAATTTGGATCGCAGCTTTTAAATATAAAGAACTACCAAAGTTACACACGTACCGGACAGTTGAAGCTCTCTATAGTAAAACTAAAAAAGGGTTTGATCATTTGCATGTGCCAAACTGAATAAATTTACCAAAATAATGTAGTTTTGTTTACATTTTGTGCTGTGACTCTATATGTCATTTTTCACAAAGGATTTTGGGAATCTGTATAGGCATCCAATAGGAACATCGGGATGTCCCTATGCTAAAGGAACTGTGATTCTGTGGGACTTGGGCGCCCTCTTCTGGTCTGGGTTCCACTAGCAGCAGCTTAATGCGCTTATACCTTGGGCCTGCTATGCTGCAGCCGGTTGGTGACAGGTGAGGATACAGCCAGTCTGCTTGTCAGTAAAGTCCACTTTATTTTGTATGCTTTTAACAAATACAGTTACATAGTATTACAGCTTCATGTATCAGATAGTGGGATTACAAAAACATGTTTGTATAAAAAGAAAGGAAAACACATTAAATTCTTTCAGGAGTACTTCCAGGTACTATGAAGAGTAAACGATAATGAACTGATGCAGATGAAGGGTTTAACTTGTTAAAGACTGATAGAGTAAGCCGACCCAGCCAGATTATCCACTGCTAGCGTTGTTAATCTCTTTTTATTTTGCTTTTCAGAACATGATAAATAAGCTCTACTTTGAGGATCTTGAGTTAAAAAAATTTTTTAAAAGATTTGGTTAAATCGATTTGTAAAAATTCCATTTACTAAATCTGTGATTGCATTCTATTTTCTTTTTAAAGAAAAATTCAAGATTCAATGTGTATAAAGTCGAACATTGGTAACTTGTTAAAAGTTATTTAATTTCTCACATTATAAATCTTTATTAAAGTGCTTAACATGAGAATAAAAGATGCCTAGTATGGCATTTTCTGTAAAACATATTTTCCTAATTTTTAACCCTATGGTTATCGAGGTGACGTTAGATTTTCACAAATTTAAAGCCAAACATTGTTTTATTTAATAAAAAAAAAACTCAAAGCTGTTCAAAAGGCATAAAGAAAACAATGCACAATGCCTAAAATGTTTTTTTATACATCTTTATGAAAACACATAAAGCACCACCCGATCCAGTGTATAACGCAGAAATAATTCAATCTGCAGTAAATAGGAGTCCGTTCTTATAATAGTTAGAAAAAGATGAACAGCTGAACAGATGGTGCTGTCATGTCCATGATAAGCAGAGGCCTTTTTTTTTATAATTATTTGATTTTACAGAACAATTATCCTAGGCATCAAAAAACACATCCTATCTTTAGTGATGGTTTGACAGACATAAGTACACTTGGTGTGAGATTAACAATAGAAAATAAAGACAAGCCTTACTGGGTTTCATGCATTTGGATCCTTAATGAAAGAGGACCAGAAACTGGAAGCACAATGACTTTGGGACTTCAGTACATCATAGCAAATTTTACAGATAACATTATTTAAAATGAACAGGCATTACATAACAGACTATTATTGCCACGTTTATTATCTTTCCAAGAATAAGGTGACATGGAGCCCAAACCAGCAATTAAAAAATGTAGAAATCCCTAACAGTCTGTGAGGTTGAATTAGAAACAGGCCCAGCCACTTTGGCAAAAAAAGAACTCAACCAAATTTTTACCAGTGAGAACCAACCTGCTTTAATGTGATTTTACCTTCAGTAAATCTAACTCTTATAGCTCTGCTAAACATCTATCCAATCAGAGAGGGCGGGTCCACATAGCCAGCCCCAGAAAAAGCAAATCTAGCCAATGCTTTGCAGAATCAGGCCAGTAGGGGGCGTCTAGGAGCATTTTACATATCTCACTGCTTACAGCTTAAAGGGATAGTTCGGTATTTTTGACATGAATCTGTATGGCATCCCGATCACCAGCGGCATGCAATCACACTGACTTACCCCTGGCAGCGTCCTGTGAGCAGAGTTCTCGTCCAGCTTTGGTCAAGCCGAAAGTAGTCCGGCAGGTTTGCTAGACCCAGCGAAATAAAACGTTTCTCTTCCCAAAACATTATGTGCAGCCATGTCTCCCTCCGCCGCGGAAGGAGACATGGCTGTTGTTGGGCTCGCTGTCTGAATGACGGCGCGCACTGATACGAACAGAGAGAAAATAGGACCAATTGATAACGACGTGTGACTTTTTCCACTACAATGTTTTTGGGATGCGAAAATATCACTCTTTTGGACACATAATGTTTTGGGAAGAGAAAAGTTTTATTTCGCTGTTCCTAAAAACCTGCAGGACTACTTTCGGCTTGACCAAAACTGGACGATAACTCTGCTCACAGGACGCTGCCAGGGGTAAGTCAGTGTGATTGCATGCCGCTTGTGATCGGGATGCCATACAGATTCATGTCAAAAATACCGAACTATCCCTTTAAGAGATTTTTAGGAGTAAAAGGCTACCTTCTAAATTAGATTTTTCAGTTTCAAAATTACTAGAACATAATTTTATGTTTAAAAAAAACAAAAAACTAATTGAAATATTCATATAAATGAGTTTGATAGATTTACTTAAACTCTGATTCTAGAATGCAAAGGGAGCGATTACCCGACTAAATGAGGAAAATTGAAGCTTACCCCTCATTTAATTTAGATTCCTCTTCTGCAAGATTTTTTTCTGTATTCATGGATTCTATCCTGTTAAATATACAGTAAACATCCTGGATCAAGTGCTAGTTAGAACCCGGGGCTGGACCTGATAGATGTAGGAGACGGTAAAACAGAGATCTACACCTTCACAACAAACACATGATGAAATCCGCCTTAAAAGCACAGTTAAACGATTAAACTCCCTGGTCAGTCATTGGTTTCATAGTATAGCTGTTTCTTAAAGGAAAAATAGATATATTCTTATGGCATATTCTTATACATCACAGTTAACAGATGTTATTACCATCAGAAAGAATACAGCACTTATTGTTAGGAAAGTGTTGAGATATTACCAAGTTACCAAAGACACAGGCATAGTCCCCGTTTTAAAGAATAGAAACCCTGATACACAAATATGTACAAGCACACAGGCTCTGGGCCCTAGCTACATCTTTAGAAAATAGAAAAAATAAAAAAAGGAAAATAAATCAATCCTGTCACTGCGCCTCTGATTGGGAGACGGTGACTCTAGCGCCCCCTACTTACAATGTGCAGTAAAATAAACATCTCTCCATACAGACATACCCCTCCACAGGTGAGGGCCTTTGGGTTTGTCACTCTTTGACCATCTAATTGACTTTCTTTCTCAATTAGTCTTCATTTTCACCAACCGCTCCTATATATACATATATATTTTAAGAGGCTCTGACAGCTGATCTGAGATCAGTAAAAAAGGAAAAACATTAAATCACAGCAGCTTTAAAATGCAGGTCATGCTTCTTTTTTTTTATAACCCCACATGGAAGCTACCATCTTTTCCCCTTCTCTGGTTTTCTGGTGAACAAGGCGGCTAACTGCTAGCTGCTCTAACACAGGACATGTGTTCGTGAGGGTGTGTGAGTTTTTTCTTTAAAGGAAAAAGTGCAATGATTAATTACACACGCCAAACACACACTAAACACGACAGTACAGAAAACCGACTGTTTATACACACAGATGTCTCAGATGCTGTGTTAGTGTGTACACAGGGAAGAACTGGGACAGCCCACTCCGCCCTCCTCCACTCCCTCCGTCTTTAAGCTGGAAGTGCCACCATGAATCTAACCCTTGCTCGTTTATTTAGCCTGATTGAGTCTTTTTTTGCATTGGTCCTATTAGAACCGGTGTGTGTTATCCTCTTGTTTTTTATTTTAGGACCTCTCCAGGACTAAACCTGCATTTTCTTCCCCCAACAGTCCACCTCTTCTCTCAGTGCAGGAGCCAGGCGCTCTCCACAGGCCTTCCATCGACCACCGCTCCCATCGCACCCCCACCACCTCCCAGTGTGTGTCCCAAAAAACTCCAGCATCATGTTGAGAAGCGTCAGCTGGAGCTCGACGCAGTGACTGAAGGTTGGTGATGACTTACAGTGCAAATTTAGGTTTGTGTTGGGAAGGGAGTTCTGCTTCGGTCTCATAGATGCTTCATGGATTCTACATTTCTGTTTATTTCGTCCTTGTTTTTTATGTTTCTGTTTGGTTTACAGGGGGCCGTACTTGGCTTCGTAGCGCGCCAAGACGTTCTTGCAGCGCCCGCAGTCCTTCCGCAGCTCGGCGACCTGCTGCCTCAGTGCGGCGTTTTCCCGCTCCAGGAAGGAGGCTCGCACCGTGATCTGGTTCTCCTTCAGCCGCCGCGCATCACGGGAACGCTTTGCTGCAACGTTGTTCTTCTTCCTCCTGGACCAGTATTTATCATCCTTGGAGGATCAGTAAAAAACAGAAAGACAGAGTCAGCGACTAGATGCATGCAGCTAGCTTTATAAAGACCTTTTTAACCATCAGTATTTCTAGTTTAATATAATTAAGATGATTTGATTGTATGTAAAATAATCCTTTGTTCTAATTTCATGCCAAATAAACTAACTGAATTTTAATAAATTAAGCTTAATTAATTAGAAATTGACTAAATGGAAACTAATTAAATTATCCACCTTAACAAATAATAAAAAGGGATCCAAAAAGAGGCCTCAGATTAACAAACCTTACCTTCTGTTCATCGGGAACAAACACCTTCTTGGCTTTCTTGATCATCGGCTGCGGTTTCAGCTCCTCGTCGGAGAACTTGTGCTTGCGGGGGTTAAACAGCTCCCCACCGGGAACGCTGGACAGGACCAGGTCTGTGGGATCAGGCTGGAAATTGATGTCCACCTCAATGGCATCTGGGTCAATGGGGGAGGGCGTGTTTCGCTCTGTAGGGGTAAAGACAAAGACGTTAATAGTCACATCAACGTTTCAGTAAGTCTATGAATACATGAGACTTAAAGAATTTTATTATAAAATGCCTTCAAAAATGATGCATTTATTATGGATTTATGTTAACATATAAACTGAGGAGGAAAGAAGACAATTAATTTAGAAATAAAAAGAAAACTGGTATAAATCTGTCCTCAAATAAAAATATTTTTGATCTAAAGCTTCCCCCTGAAGCTCTGGCTGCATGTTTCTCACCTCCACCTCAGTTTCATATCTTTTGCAGACTAACGGGTGTTTTTATTTAGCTGCATCTATTTACTCATCTGACAAATCTGTCTGTTATCGTTGAACAATATTGTAAATCTTGGGATACGGTTGAGAATCTAACCCCACTTTAAAGATCTCATATGTACCCCTGATGTTTTAATGTATCATATAAATCGCAAACAAAATACCTTCAATGAATTTGGCGATGGGAGCAACAATAGTTTGGTAAAACTTTTTCTTTTTAATTAATAAATTACGGGGAAATCGGTTTTCTCTCACTATTTCGTTTTTATAAGTTAGGACAATAAACTTTTTTGGTCTTTTTTTTATGTCGATGTTTAATATCAACTTTAAGAACTTTAGATTTTTGATGTAACAACGATCGAATTCTGTGAATGTTTTAAAGTTGTTGAGCTGCGACTTGTCCATAATTACTAAAACCTGCAAGGCTTTAAAGAGACAAAGAAACTCTTCATTCCCCAGTACTCTATGTTTAAGACACTAATTAAACGTTTTTTTTGTCGATTTTTTGTTTTGTTTTTTTGCTTGATTATAAATGACAAGTAATCCTTTCAATAGTAGCTGATGTTTTGAAAAATCTGAAATACTTGCCTGTTTTTTTCACTTCCGTTTCTGCTGGGACTTCCTCAGCTAAAGATTCCTCCTCTTGTCCATCCTCCTCCTCATCTTCCTCGTCCTCTTCCTCCTTCTCCAGTTTGGCTGTTTGCAGCGTAGTTACCGTCACGGTCTCCTCTGCATCAGAAGTGGCCTCGGAGGAAGAAGGTGCAGGCGGCGCCGGGACGACTTCGGTGACAGCAGCAGCTGGAGGGGCGGCGACCGGTGCAGGGGCTGGTGCAGCCAAAGCGATCACTTTGGGAATGGGTTTTCCTTTGGGGTCCACTGAGGTCAGAGTCCTCTGGAGCTCCTCTTCCTCCAGGCTCACAGGGATCCCGTTCTCTAGAAGAAACTCATCCAGGTCCATGTACTCCAAGTGGAAGGTCTCGCCGTCGTAAGGAATGGTTTTCTCCCAGATGGCCGGGGTCAGGGAGGCTGAGACTCCTGCACCCCCTCCGCTTCCACCTCCTCCTCCTCCTCTGGTGCCGGCACCAGTGCTGGATGCCACGGTGCCACCTCCCTCCACATCCTCAGAGGAGCTCTGCTTTTCCTTCTCGATTTCTGCATCAAGTAGAAAAGAAAAAGAAGTTAACGACGTTATAAAAGAAGCTTCCAAAAAAGTTTACCTTAAATACTGGGGTGGAACCATAAAAAAATTGTTTTGGTCTCAGCAGGGTTGAGATTACGTGTAACAAAAGTAATTTCCCTCTGGGATTATTAAAGTATTTCTGATTCTGATTTAAAGCTGGGAGGCTTTTGATGAGCCAAAAGACACAAAATAAGCATGAATAAATGATGTCTAAACTTTTTTTATACCAGTCTTATTACAATAACTGATTTTAAAAAAAGTAATGACTGTGAGTGTCACAGATGTTGTATGACAATCCATTGGTCACATTGCTAAATGTTATCAACAAGTCTTTATCTTTTTAAACCAACATGGATCTAAATGATTAAAAATATTTGATAAAATCTGTCTGACTGGATCCTTTTTCATATGTTTTATGCACGGGCGCTCCAACACAGGGGCAACAGGGGCCCTGGAGCTAAGATATAATACAAAATAAATCTATGGTAAATAAATTATATGTGCTGGAACAGAAACCACAACAAATGTCCCTTGGACCATTTTTTGTTTGTTTGTTTACAGTTTTATTTTATTGATAATAAAAAAAAATTATTTGTTGCACCTTTAGTTTCAATCATAATGAGATAGGTTTGCAGTTTTCATTTGCTAGATCTAAGGTTACCAGGGCTGAAAATGAATACTTGGTTTACTTTATATACTAAATGAAATAACTTTATCCGTTTGTTGTTTCTCCTGTTTTTTTTCCTATGCTCCCAAGACAAAAAAAAAAAAAAAAAAAACACCGATCCCACCCTGCCCCCCCTGGTATATTTGGTCTAGGAACGCCTCTGGTTTTATAGTTCCCACATTTTCATGATCTGTTGCTGCATGCCTTCCTGGAGTCATGCAGGATACAATAAAGCTCACATAGAAAATGTGGGTTTTTATTAAACACACACGCAAAAATAAAGATAAGAGAAATCTGCAAAGATATATATATATATATATATATATATATATATATAGATATATATATATATATATATATATATATATATATATATATATATATATATATGTATGTGTGTATGTGTGTGTGGAGCAGAACTGAAAATGTAAATCCTTAAGTGAACAGGGATGATGTCACACAGTCTACAGCCATGTAAATAAAGGAGGATTATAACCAAATAGTTTGCCTGTGATGAGGGAGTGGAACATTACAGCATGAGGCGTCACGGAAGTCAGAAGATGGATGTTCGGCATAAGCAACCCAAGAAACAAAACCACTCAATCCAAACTGGAAAAACAAACAAACATCTTAACCATGAGTTGGATTTTTTAAAAAGCCATTTCCTCATTCTGTAAATGTCCATACTGTGTGATTTCATTAGCTTCAGACCAGCTCAGAGAAGTGGGAACTTTTTGTTCTTTTCACGCTTCCTCCCAGCTTTGCATGAAACAGGCTCCAACATACAGGGCTTTAAAACCAACTCCATCCTAAACACTCATCATATTATAAAAATCTAATTATGATCAAAGGTTTGCTTGATAAATTCTTGGAGATATATCAACATGCAGTCCGACCCTAAAATGAAATCCCTGCCAATATCTGAGCGGATTGCCATCCGATGCTTACCGTCGTCTCCTTCCTCCAGGATATTAGGAGGTGGGATATCCATGATTTTCTTTAAAACAAAAGGATATGACTTGTGAGGAGCCGCTGCGGCTGGGAGCGCCACTGACACCGCTGCTTTGCCAGGCATTGTTCGGTGCCAAGGTTCCGCGGAGACGGTAGCTGATTAGTTAGCAAGTGCTAGATCCACTTCCACGGCGAAAAAAAACACGGATTTCCACGTTTTCTGCTCCCGCAACTAATCTTGGACTTTCTTTATCAATAATAAGACGTGTCTAATAGAGTTCACAGCCGTCTCCTCGTGCGTACCCACCGAGCGCGCTCATTGGATATTCATGAGACGTTTGTCCCGCCCACTAAAAGAATAGTAGAAGCTGATTGGTTCTCGCCGCGGACGGATATGAATATGCATTAGTACGTTTAATTACTGTGGCTCTTCAGGCCAGGATATACAATAATAACATTTAAATAGAATTAAACACGAAATACATATTTAAAATTAATTAGAGTGTGTAATTAACTGGACTATTATAAGATAAAGAAAATGGAAATAAGAGTTAAATGAGGCCAAACAATAGTCAAAGCCCTGAAAAGACAGTGACGCACTATAAGTATCAAATGTTGGTAGCCTCCGGATGGAGCAGCTTCAGCCAATCAGCTGAATGTCAGCAAATCCCCCCCGCCCCCACCCGAAGGAAACGTCTGCCCCACTTCTCTTCTGAGAACGGGACACTCGCGGACAAACATGTGCGGCTCACCCCCACCCTCGCGCACGTGAGGGCGCAGGCTTTTCGAAGGGCGTGGCTTCGAATCCTCCGCACGTGTGGCTCAACGAGAACATCAGCAGGAGCGCGCGTGCCCGAGCGTTTAGCAAACAGCGGACACGCGCTGGGGAGCGCGACACACACCATCCTCTGCTCTATATAATTTTAGATTCATGTGAATTTTTATTTTTATTTTCTTAGTTCCCAAAACATATATTAAATTCCACATAAAAAAAAAGTTTTCCTTTAATGCACACAGAGGCCGTAAAAAAAGTAGGCCAAATATATTTGTTTAAATAAAAGATGGAAGGACTCCTCACGTTTTCACACGCCTTTATTTTTGAACACCTGTCACGTTCTCTCTCAAACTGAAAGGTGTAGGGTTCACAATGTCCGGCCCACCTTCACTCCCTGTATCTGTTTACACCGTTAATAATAGCAGCCTGGTAAACAAGTTAGGCTGAAAGGACTCCATGCAGCTGTTCATGAATGCTTAACAGGGTATTGCAGCCCTCAAACCATGTCAACGTTACAAAAGTAGCATATGATCAGACAATATCAATCCCTACATTAAACTTTGATTTCAATGTTTAAATGGGTGAATAACATGCATTTTACTTTAGATCTAATTGCCTTAATCCTGTAAGATGCTGTAAAAAACAAACATATAAAAAGCAAATAGTTCAAAGACCAGTGCACCATGTTTTTTAATGCCTTCGAAATATATTTTTGCAAATATTAAGTGCTTTTAAGTCATTGCCTTAAAAAAAAGTGGTGAAGGGACCAACCTTTGAGACATATTTAACTGCTGATTCTTCCACACCTGTGGCTGCACATTACCTGTCAGCTGGCTGAAGGGAGGCTCCTACCTTTTCCTCTTACTTACAAGAAAGACAGGTTTGGTCCCTAGTAATTTTTAAATTTGACATAAAACTGCTATGAAAACCACAGCTGGGAAGGTGCAACTTGCATATATGTTAATTTATTGGCAAGATAAATCAAGCTCACTTAGCTCACAAGCTTACTTGTTTTTTAGCATAAATAAATTTCAAGATGGCATAAATGAAACCATGAATCTTTTATGATATATTATTTACTGTAAAACACTCTTCTTTCTTTTTTTACTTGTACTGCTCCAGGACAAAAATCATACAGGTCCATGCAGATATTGTTATTGATCATTCATGGTAATGAAATGCCTGTTGGCACAGAAAGCACAGGTGGTTCTGTGGGACACCTGAGAGATTCATGGGTGATAGTGTGGAAAATTTGACCCATTTCAGGTGAACGATTTCATCCACTCCCAGCAGTATTTTTCCATGGGGCCAAGAGGAGCAGGTGTTGTGTACCCGTGACTATTTCACCAATTCTGTTTTTTTTTTCTTTCTCCAGGCCATTGTCTAGTCAACCCTAGCAGAAAAGAATGCAGCATGCCTGACCCCAGGTAAACGTGCATCACAAAACTTAGGATCAGAGAAAAAAAATATTTACCACGGGTATTCTTTACTGAAATGGAAAAAGAAACATGGCAGAATGCATATATATATATATATTATATATAATATAAAAGTGTCAAGTTTCAAAATGTCTGTGAATTCCAAGTATTTTACTGTGCATGTGATGTGACAATATGCCCCCTGTGGCAGTGTGGAATTATTAATCTGACACAATTTGGGGAGCTATCCAGTGCTGAAACCACCCTCATAATTGGAAATATTTGTAATAGTTCAATAGTTGTTGTTTTTTTTTAGCAACTTTAGCAGCTTGAATTATTCATTCATACATTTGTGTGATTTAATCCCAATTTATTTTTTCTAGGATACAGTAGTAGGATGGATAATTCATACACACACACACACACACACACACACACACACACACACATACATACATATATGTATATATATATATATATATATATATATATATATGTATATATATATATATATATATATGTATATATATATATATATATATATATATATATATATATATATATATATATATATATATATAAATAAACAATGTATGATGCATTTTGCTCTGACCTTTCTCAAACTGAAGATGGCAGACTGTGGATATCACAATCTTTTATCAGGTGTCCATGACAATCTATGTGCAAATTTAATTAAGATTTTTTGTTCCAGCATTCACATTAGTTTTAGTTTCTTTTTACAAACATTTTTTATTGTGAGCAAACTATGTCAAAAAGATAGCCTTCTGTTTGTTACAGTGTAATTCTACTGTCAGGTAGATTGAACCCATGATTTTTCAATCCGATTAATATAATCACCCCTGACATGCAGGCACACATTTTATTCTGATAACCAAATATATTTTAAATTATAATGCATAGTTAAGCTTTTAATCGCTCTAACGCAGCTAAATATGTAAGTAAAAGTGTACATTAAGGAGAAATATAAAACAATGGATCGTTTTGAGTTTCTCTTTTGATTGAATAATTAACAAATGCAATTTAAAGTAACTCACCGATGTCATCAAAGGCTGGAAAAGAGAAGGGGTATTCAGCCAAGGCCTTCAGGAGATCAGGAATGTCACTTCTTTCTCCAAAAAGGATTTCACTCGTTAAAGACATGATGAACAAACAGTGACGGACTTTCTCTTCTCCAAAATAAACAGAAAACTCCAAACTGCTCCAACTAGATCCTCAAAGTACGAAACAAACCTGGTGTAATGGTTCTGGAACTCACTTCTTTGACTTTTCACTAACTTCTCTGGATCACAGGGACGCCTGAGTGTGTCCAAGTTTTATGGGTTTACCGAGTAGCAGGGGACACGCCCACAATCTCGGTGAAATCGACCAATTGCGAGCCTTTAAGCTTAGCCGCAGAGCCAATCAGAAAGTGGGAGGCGGGCCCTGAAAGCAACAATAACAAAACCATTTTGCAGAGTGCAAATGGTTTCAGCACACCATGCACGGCTGCACGTGCGGCGGGAATCAGGTGTTCATATAAGTGACGTGCAGTGACACCTAGTGTCTGATCCAGGTAATGCAACCCCGGCTGAGAACATTTCAGAATAGAAATCAGCTTCATTCCTCAAGCTAATTTAGTTTTGATTATGGTTCCACTTAAATATAAACCAATAAAAAAGTATTTTGATCCGAGTACTTCATTATTCATCAGAGAGCCTTGGAAAACAAAGTTCACATGTGTCTCAAGAGTGCAGGATGTCTGGAGGGTCTGCAGAGATTCCCCTACCCCAACCCTGGATAATCTACAGAGCTTTTAAAGGTTTTCCTGTCCTACCTGTCCTGGATGAAGAGAAGGGCATCTCTGCTCCATTTTGCAAACCTGATTGTTACCCAATAGTCCAAACCTGTACTTTTGTAGTTGAACGAAACAACACAGCGGTACCTGCAGCTCCTGTGAAATGTTCTCTCAGAAAAAGAAAGGTGTAGGGTTTACAATGTCAAACACAGGAAGGAAACACTCTCCTGGGCCGCCTTCTGTCTCACTGTGGTGATGGAGGAGACTAAAGACTTTATACAGGTAGTGAAGACAACACATGGGATTGTGGGACGCTGGCTACCAGATTAGGACTAGGTTTATACTGGACCAGTCTAGAAAAAGAGTCACATTCCACCCGAGTCGTTTGTCCCACTTCCATCGGAAAGACGATATAGAAACATAAATTCAAAGCATTTAAAAAAAGTCCAAAAAACAAGCCACTGGACTTGGATTCCAAGTTTGAAAACCTTTCGCTTCCCATCCAAGAAGCCTTTTCCGATTCAAAACATCAGAAAAAACTTGTTTTGGCTTAGAAAACATGCAAATTGAACCAGAAGAACAGGTCCGCCCCTTAGGAATCGTGAGTCGTTTTGGGTTCTTTGTTAGCGTGGAATACCAAAATACTGATCTACGCCTTAGAAAGGGTTGGCTTGGCTGCCCAGGTGAGGTGTTCTGTTTACCTGTATGGGGATGGAGGTTACGATGATAGAGGGAAGGAATCAACTATATTGCTGCATTGTAGGTTTTTGAGAGCTAAAATCAGAGTCAATCCTCTCAGTTTAAGGTTGTTTTTTCTTTTTTAACATAAATGGCTTCCGTCACAGCCCTTTCAATCCACCTCTTTTTTTTTTTTATCCAAAATGTGAACATTCTGGTCCTGAAATGAGTGTTTCTTGTCCTTAATGTGCAGGTTTGACAGCAGAGTCTTTTCTGGAGGAAGTAGCTCTTCTGTGTTGAGCCATAGTTCTGTGGAGAGCTTGTTTGATTTTTTTAATATAAAGATCAGGGCATTCCCCACTGCATTGAACTACATACACCATACTGTACTGCATACACCAACTGCATGCCCTGATCTGCAATATTTTTTCAGAATGAGTATGACCTGGATGACTGAGAATCTTCACCAGCAGAAATACAAAACAAAAACTTAATAGTTTACAGTAAATCTCAATGCTGTGAAGGATATTGTCCCCCTGTAGTCAGACACTCCAAATAACACACAAACAAACGCACCTGACTTCAAATTGACCAGCAGCTCATTTCACATTCTGCTCTGGTACAAGCTGCATTTTATGCATAAACTGCATGCTACAC